GCTACACAGACAGAGAGAAATCTTTTATGAGTAATTCCACCCTGTAATTCAGTTGAATTGTTATAAAAAAGTACCTGATTAAATTATTTCACTTATGAAATATGAACAACTTGCACAAAATATTGAGGTGAACAAATTTTTCTTTATTGCTGACCTGTTCAAATAGAAAACCACTAAGTGCAAAATTGAAAGCTTGAGCACTGAGGTGTTAGAGATAGCTGGAATGAAAAGAATAAATACAGAATTAATGAAAAATTTATTCTTGCCACTGCTTTTTCAAGTAAAATTCTACATGGTTTAAAAACTATTTCAAAAACAAAATGGGTGATGGTGGCTTACAACTGTAATCCAAACTACATAGGAGGCAGAGATCAGAGGATCACAGTTAGAAGCCAGCCTGGACAAGAACGACGATGAGATATCGCCAATTACCTACTGAAAAAAATCAAGAAGTAGATTTAAAAAAAAATGGTTTCACCTCCTGTTTTCTCTGGCTGTTCGTCTTTTTGTTGTTGTCTGTCTCTTGGGGGAATTTAACCGATGGAAATTGAACTCTTTTTGGTTGGTGAGAGCTGTGGTGTTTCCCTACTTTCCCATAGCCATCTTGCTCCCTCCTCTCCTTTTGTTTTTAATATTTTGCTTTTTGTGTAACTTAATTGCTGTTCTGTTCAATCCCAGATATATACTCATCTTCAATTATTAGACCTTATCTTTCATTGTGTGCATACTTAATTCAGATATCGATTACTCATTTCAGAAACTCTCAGCCTTAAGTCCTTCAATTGTAGTATTATTTCTTTATACTTATAGAATTGTTTTCTTGTCAGTCATGGGGCTTGACCTCTGGGCCTGGGTGCAGTCCCTCAGCTCTTCAGTTCAAGGGGAATGCTCTACTGCTTGAACCAAAGTGCCCCTTCTGTTTTTCTTATGGTTTATTGGAGATAAGTGTCTCATGGACTTTCCTGCCCAGGCTCACTCTGAACCATGATCCTCAGATCTCAGCCTTCTGAGTAGTTAGGATTATGGGTGTGAGACTCTGGTGCCCAGCTTTTCTATAATTTTTCTGTTTCATGTCTAGATTTTTTATTTCTCATTTTTCCTTTTTTTCTTTATCTCTCTTCTCCTTTCCTTCTATCCTTTACCTCTCTCTGAATTTATGTCTTAGTTATCTTCCCTCTCTTCTTTTCCCTCCCTACATTTCTGTAATCTTATTTTCTCCTCATAATTCTCATTAAATGTATTAATTTGTGGTCAACTGACTCCTTCTTTGATTCTCTTAGTCCAATGATCCATAGTTGTTTGCTGTTGAACTAGATTGTATCTGTAGAATGAGATTGTATCTGTACTCATTTTGACTGTGTCAAACAATCTGTGCAACTACAGGCTTCTGGTTGATGCTTGCCTCAAAATAGTGTTCTAGCTCAGAATTAGTTTGGCTGTCATACACAAATGGGCAGAACAGGCAGAAACACAAGAAAAATGACCAGTCCAGGAATCTCAACTTCCACTCATGGTAATCAGGCAACAGAGCAGTTAATGAATAATCTGGGCTAGAGTCCCTAAAATACTCTACAAACACTACTGCTAAACATGTTGAATTAAAAGATTGAGAGCCTGCAAAGGTCCTTGTGTGAGCACGATAGGGAAACATGAGAGCGTGATGAGGTTAACCAAAGATTAATACAGGTACTTCTCAAGTGTGATGAGTCTAACCAAAGATTAATGCAGAAATTTTGGGAGCTAATCAAAAATTAATACAGGAATAGCCCTAGTGGGGTGAGAATTAAAAAAAAAGATTAATGGAGGCATTCATGGAATCCACAAACAGAAAGCTGGAGGAATCTATGGAGGCCACAAAGGGAATGCTGAATGAAGCCCAGCTGAAGGAAAGGGAGTCCAATGAATCTATAATCAATCAACTAAGGGATTTGAGAATGAACACTGAAAACCAAGTCAAAGAGGTAAAGAAGTGCTTACAAGTTCTAAAACAGAGCTCCAACAAAGAATTTGAATTCATCAAATCTGAGCAATAAGGAAGGAAAGGAAATAAAACCAAAGTAGAAAGTCTTGACAGTAGGATAGAGAATGCAGAAGATCAAATCTCTGGGATTGAAGACAGCCTAGACCTTATAGAGGAAGAACAGACAAGTATTCAAGACAAATCCAAGAAATATGATAGATTCAATATATAGAAGACACCATCAGAAGTCCTAATTTAAGGCTAATGGGTGTAGAGGAGAGCCTAGAGACAGAAGTTGAAGGTTTAAGAAATTTAGTTAACAGGATCCTAGTAGGGAACTTAGAAAAAATTGTATTAAGTAAAGTAAGCCAGGCCCAAAGAAACATAGGTTCCACGGTTTCCCTTATTTGCAATAACTAGTACATGTGTAGGACAAACAGAAAAGGCCAAAAGCCATGCACATATGACCATATAAGATGATGTTAAGCAAAATGAACCCCAAGGTAGGGACACAAATACCTTTTTTCTTTCTTGTTATTCCTTGTAACCCATTTATAATGCACCATATGACTTTTGTTACTTTGTATATTTCTCCCCCATGGTATAACCCCTATTTTCACTGTATTTGTGGTTGATGACCTGCATCTTCTATATACACTTCTTTAATTCGGGGATGTGAGGGGGAAAAACAAACAAAATCCTTAAATAAGGATACAGGTTGATCAATTCTTAACAATGAGATGTACAAACCACACTTTTTAAAATGAACGTTATAACTTGTGGGACGGAGGGGGGATGTAGTCGTTGGGGAGGGAGGAGTTGGGAAGGTGCAGAATGAAGTGATGGTAGGGGGAAACAAAGGAGAGGCAACAATGCTCAATAGGAAATGTACTCATTACCTTGCTCGTGTAACTGTAACCCCTCTGTGCAGCATTTTTACAATAAAAATTGTATAAAAGAAAATCTGAGAAAGCAAATGAAAGCAGAACTAAGGAAAAACTTCCCATGCTCCTGGATTGGGAGGATTAAGAGCATGAAAATGGCAGTACTGCCAAAGGCTATCTACAAATCAATACAATACCTATGATTATCCCAAACTCATTTTTCAATGAAATAGAAGAAGCAACTCAAAAATTCATATTAAACAAGAAAAGACCCCGAGTAGCAAAAACAATCCTTAATGGAAAGAATAGTGCTGGAATTATATAAATACCAAATGGAAAAAAGACAGCCTCTTCAATAAATGGTGCTGGCAAAATTGGTTAAACATCTGTAGAAAACTTAAGCTAGATGCTTGTATATCCCCCTACACCAGAATCAACTCCAAGTGGATCAAAGACCCAAAGGCAAAGCAGATATACTGAAAACATTACAGGAAGAAATAAGAAAAACCCTAGGTCTCCTTGATACAGGGCAGAATTTCCTTAATAAAGACCCAGAAACACAACAATCAAAAAAAGGCTGGACAAATGAGATTGCATGAAGCTGCAGAGCTTCTGTATGGCAAAGGACATAGCTAGCAAGATCAATAGAAAGCCCAGGGTTTGGGAGAAAATCTTCAGGAGTCATACAATGCACAAGGGTCTCATTGCTAAAATATATTGGAACTCAAAAAATTAAATTTCCCAACAACAAATCCTCAAAGAAACAACTGCCTGATTAATAAGTGGGCTAAAGACTTAAGGAGACACTTCTCTGAAGAGGAACTAAGAATGGCCAATAGACACATGAAGAACTGCTCAACTTCTCTCGTAATAAAAGAAATGCAAAGAAATTAGAATAGCTATAAACAACAAATCTAATAACAACAGATGTTGGAGGGGATGTGGCCAAAAGGGCACCCACTCATTGTTAGTTTCAATCACTTTGGAAAATGTATGAAGGTTCCTCAAAAGACTAACCATAGACCTCCCCTATGACCCAGCAATCTCACTTTTGGGCATTTACCCAAATGATCACAAACAAGGCCATACTAAAGCTAACAGCACACCTAAGTTTATCATAGCATTATTCACCATAGATATGAAACCAAACCTGATGCCCCTCAGTAGATAAATGGATCAAGAAAATGTGATATATATATATCCACAATGGAATTCTATGCTTCCATCAGAAAGAATGACACTGCCCCATTTGTTAGGAAATGGAAAGACTTAGAAAATTTTATATTAAATGAAGTAAGCCAGGCCCAAAGAAACATAGGTCCTATGGTTTCCCTTATTTGCAATACTATACATCAAAAACTATGTACATATGACCACATAAGTTGATGTTAAGCAAAATCAACCTCAAGGTAGGGACACAAGAGGTTTTATCTTTCCCATTGTTGTTTCCAATGTATTTACAATGTACCATGTGATTTTTTTGTTTCTATTGTATGTTTTTCCCCCATGGTAAAACACCTGCTTTTACTGTATTTGATTTCAGTGCCTACATCTTGTATATACATTTTTCTAATTTGTTGATGGGAAGGAAAATAACAAAATACTGAAATAAGTATACAGGTTATCCCATTATAACAATGGGATGTACAAGACACTATGTTCAAAATGAACTTTAGTACTTGGTGGGAGGGAAGGAGGAGATGGGAAGCTGGGGAGCGAAGGGAGAGTAGAGGAAAAACAAAGGAAGAGGTAACAATGTTGGACAGGAAATGTATCCATAACCTTACTCATGTAACTGTAAACTTTCTGTACAGTATCTTCACAATAAAAACCATATACTAAAAAGATAATAAAACAATTAAAAAAGAGTAGATAGGAAAGAAATAAGTACGGAGTTACATGGAATACATTAGGAGAAAATCAAATAATGACAATTCTTTAATGTTGACACTCACAGAGTCAACTTGCAATAATCATCATAAAAGAAAGAAAATGAGTAAATCCCTGTTACTTTTTAAGATATTTTTTCAAATACAACAAAATTTTAGTGAGAAAACTAGTATAGACATGCAATAGAGGCTCTGTGATTTATAGAAAGACATACATTTAATATTAAAATGGATTATTTCTCTCAGCATGTGTTTTGCCCCTTATACCATGCAGAGAATTTCTCTCTGGCCTCAACAAGATGACATAGCACTTAGGGACAAAGATGCAGCCTAACAGGCCAGCACTGGAAGCTAAGATGGAGAAGACCTCCACGGCCACCATGGTTTTCCCCTTGGTGCTGTGGTAGACAGGCAGGAAGGTGACCCACACACTACAGAACACCAACATACTGAAGGTCAGGAACTTGGCCTCATTGAAGGTGTCAGGCAGTTTCCTGGCCAAGAAAGCCACAGTGAAGGTTGCCAGGGCCAGGGAGCCCAGGTATCCCAGGACACAATAGAAGGCAGTGGCTGAGCCTATGTTGCACAGGATGATAATATGGCCATGTTCTGAGTGTGCATCGGTGTCAACAAATGGAGGAGAAGTGCCCAACCAGATTCCAGACAGAATGAGCTGGATCAGCGTGCAGATGGGAATGATGAAGTTAGGCATTCCTGACACCAGCAACCACCGCATCCTTCTCCCTGAAGAAGTTACAGAGAAGGCCAGAACCACAGTAACAGTTTTGGCCAAGACAGTGGAAACAGCCACAGTGAACACAACTCCAAATGTGGTCTGCTGGAGGACACACGTGGCTGTGTTGGGATGTCCAATGAAGAGCAAGGAGCAAAGAAAGCAGCAGTTGAGGGAGATGAGCAAGATGTAGCTGAGAGCCCTGTTGTTGGCCTTGACAATGGGAGTGTTGTTGTGCTTTGTAAAAATCCCAATAACAGCAGTGGTTAGTGCAGAGAGGCAGAGAGCTAAGCAGACTAGAGTCATCCCCAGAGGGTCCCTAGAGTCCAGGAAGCTCTCAGATTTCAGCAGGCAGAGGTTTTTCTCTATGTTGGCATACTGATGATCTGGGCACCTCACACACTGTTCCAAATCTGGCAAGGAGTGGGAGTTACCATCAGTATGTCAGTAGTTACCTTGCTTCTCTGCCCTTGCCCCAAGAAGTTAATTTGTTGAGCTTAATCCATTGTTCTGTGGTGTTGCTTTCCAAACTAAAGTACAAATTCTAAGAAGCATACAATTCAATGTGAGTCCTAATCATGTTTTCCTCATAAGTTTCCCTACATTTCAGCATTTTCCTTTTTTTTTTTTTTTTGTGTCCGGTCATGGGGCCTGAACTCTGGGCCTGGGCGCTGTCCCTCAGCTCGTCAGCTCAAGGCTAGCGCTCCACCACTTGAGCCACAGCGCCACTTCCAGCTTTTTTCTTTTTGCTTATGTGGTGCTGAGGAATCGAACTCAGGGCCTCGAGCATGAAAGGCAAGCGCTCTACCGCTGAGCCACCATCCCAGCCCTCAGCATTTTCTTGAAAGCATTTCCCATTATCCAAATATGGAAATAAAAATCTCCTCTACATAATTAACATACCATGTGAAATAATCTGTGCTATTCCTTCAGAAACCAGATAATTCATGAGAAATGTACACATTATGGTTTGGACCTGAATATGTAAATTCCAGAGAATTAGATATAATCAGTAATCCTCATAATCTTCCCTAGATTTCCCCACCTCAATTACACATTGAACTTTTCAAAGCAAACATGGTGGAGTTTGATGGATATTTTCCTGACTCAGTACCCTAATTGTGAGTCTTCTCATCCAATATAGGCTTCATATTTACTCTTATTTCTGTCCTCTCAGAATTTTTTACCTTATGTTCTACTGTATCTAAAGTCCATATCAGCAATAATTTTCTCTTATTATTTTATAATTTATCAAGTGCTAATCACATTTCTAAAAAATACACTTATGACATGATTTCAAAGTAGAATTAAATCATTTCTGAACCTTACACTCTTCATTCTCTAGAAATTGAAGTATATATTCAAATATGTCCAGAATGTTCTAGTAACAATAAAAATTATAATCATATACCTTTCTTACAAATTAATGTGTTTTCAGTATGCTTCACTCAAAACGCTGCATTTTTCTGGACTTTAGCTTAGAGGTTAGTTCAAGTGGTCCTCTTTCTTTTTTAGTTTTAGTTTTATTTTTTTATTGTGAGAATACCGTACAGAGGAGTTACAATTACATGGGCAAGATGACGAGTCCATTTCTTATCAAGCATTGTTGCCTCCTCTTTGTTTCCCCTTCCCCCCTCCCCCACCCAGTCCCCCGCACACTCCCAGCACCGCCCCCCCACACCAACGTTATAAATTTCATTTTTTGACATAACAAATTGTACATCTCATTGTTGCAGAGGGTCCACCTGTATCACTAGTTAAATAACTTGTTTTTTCCCTTACCCTCCACAAATTATACCAACATCAAATACAGTAAAAGCATGGGTTAAAAAATATGGAACACTTGGGCTGGGAAGGTGGCTCAGTGGTAGAGTGCTTGCGTTGCATGCCTGAGGCCCTGGGTTCCATTCCCCAGCACCACATAAACAAAAAGAAAAAAGCTGGAAGTGGTGTTGTGGCTCAGATAGTGGAGTGCTAGCCTTGAGCTAAAGAGCTGAGGGACAGCGCCCAGGCCCAGAGTACAGGCCGCACAACTGAACCTCCCCCCCAAAAAATGTGGAATCCTTTATGAATTTGCCTGTCATCCTTGTGCAGGGGCCATGCTAATCCTCTCTGTATCATTCCAATTTTAGTATATTTGCTGCCAAAGCGAGCACTCAAATGGTCCTTTTGAGTTTAAATTTTGCTACATAATAATACATTTTGCCATATTACAGATAATGATTTAACATGTTTTGTGGTGGAAAGGATATCATGTACATGGATACTGGTCCACAAAACTTATCTAAATCTTCTATCACTCTGCAGGTGTTGTGACTTTTCTGGCAGGATTTTATCTTTTATAACATGCAAATTCCTACCTAATAATAGGAAGGCTTTTGTCTCTATATGCTATCTATTGTGGACTGTTCCTATTGTCTACTATTGATTGAGAAACACTAAGGAGATACGGAGAATGTCTCCAATACTTACACTCTTACCTGTACCATTAGAAATCTCATTCTCAGGGCAAGGGATACAATCAAAGCAACAGACAGACTTTCCCTCCTGAGGGGATTTTCTGAATCCAGGACCACAACTCTCACTGCAGACAGACTGCGGAGTCTAAAAAAGGAGATTAGTGTTGATGACAGACAGGTTACTTATTCTTAATATTCTCAAATTCTAGTATGATAGATATTTGATCACTCAGAATCAAATTTTCTATAAAGATGCATGTATAAATATGTATATACATAAACAATTGGATGATATTATTTCAGGTATTATATCATAGTCAAAGAAAAGTGATTTAACTTCTTCCTATGCCCTTCTTAATGGAAAAAGCAGGAACATTCAAGTAGCCATTTTTCTTCTTTTTCGATTTCGTTTTTTTTGGTTGGTCAGGGGGCCTGAAAAATGGGCCTGGGCACTGTCCCTCTGCTCTTCAGCTCAAGGCTAGCACTCTGAAGCCAAAACACCACTTCCACCTTTTTCTGCTTATGTGGTACTGAGGAATTGAACCCAGGGCCTCATGCATGCAAGGCAAGCGCTCTACCTCTGAGCCACCTTCCCAGCCCACCATTCTTTTTAAGGTGGGAAATCATCTAAAATAAGAAACAACTGGTCAATTGACTATTAATTGAAACATAAAACAATGAATAAAATTGAACATTCTACATTATAAATTAACTTTCAAAGTTACTGTGTTACAGTGATATGGAGCTTTGTAACATGATATTTATATTTGGAATGCATAAGAAAAAATATTAAGAAATAACTTGGCAAATAAATATGCTCCATATCAACCCGTTAATCAATTACTTCATAAAAACATTTCTATATGGGAAGTTGGTAATTTACATTCTTGCTTTATTGACGAAGACAAGAGGAATAAATTCTAGCAAGATATTTTGTTCATTTAGTCCTACTTTAGATCATCATTGTTTGATTCAACACACCTCCGTAAATGAGATGGGCCATTCTATGTTATCATTGGATAGAGATAATTGATGCCCATGTGGTGCATATGGAGAAAAGTTTCCCACTTTCATCACTTGCCTAAGACCTTCTGGAAAATTGCAAAGGTTCACAATGTCATACTCTGCCACCATTTTCTTTGTCTCATCCAAAATCACTTGGTCACCAGCAGGATTGTTGAAATGGATGTTCTTCAGAAAGGGGTGGAGCTAGAAGATATACATCAACCAGGGTGAAGTTAGTCAAAAGTTCACACAGAGAATGGGAGGAAAGAGTACATATCCATGGACTTTCATTTCTGTTTCAGAATCCATTTATAACAGAGTAATGAAGAGAACAACTGAAGGTCTATGGATGAATAATATAAAATAATGCTGATAACTCCTAAGACTCAAGTAACTGTTCAACATAGCATTTCAAGATAAAAAATCTAGTACGTTCACTGAAATGATCATAAATCATACACATTCCATGCCTGGCTACACACGCAGAGATTTTCTAATGAGTAACTCAACTGTGTAATTCAATGAAAAAGTTATAAAACTACCTCAATTAGAAATAAAGTATTTCTTATATGAAAAATGAAAAATTGTGCACAAAATATTTGAGGTAGAAAAATTTTGAATTATTGCTTGCCTGTTACAAATTCAAATACAAAATCAATAAGTACAAAATCGAAAGTGTGAGTACTGACATGTTACATATAGATCGAATGAAAACAATAAGTAACGAATTCTTTAAAAATTCACTCTTGCCAATTTGTTTTATCAGGTAAAATTCTACATGTTTTAAAAACTGTTTCAAAAGCAGACTGGATAATGGTGGCTCACAACTGTAAAGCAAAGTACTTAGGAGGCAGAGATCTGAGGATCCCAGTTTGAAGCCAGCCTGGACATGAACAACCATGAGACACTTCTCTCCAATTACCTACCGAGAAAAACAAGAAGTAGAGTGTTTGCTTAAATGGTCAACTACTCACATTGAGCAAAAGAAGCTGAGGCCCAGAGTTCAAGCCTAAGGGATGGCACAAAAAAATCAAAAACAAAAACCATCAGAGACAGCTAAGCTGAGTAAGCTTTTCACTTTCTCTCTCTCTCCATTATTTTATTTTATTCGTTGTTGTTGTTGGTCATGGGGCTGGAAATCTGGGCCTGGGTAATCTCCTTGAGCTTTTCATCTCAAGGCTAGAGATTTACCACTTGAGCCACAGTTCCACTCCCAGTTTTCTGAGTGGTTTATTGGAGATAAGAGTCTCAAGGACTTTCTTACTAGGGCTGGATTTGAATCTCCATCCTCATATCTCAGTGTCCTGAGTAGTTAGGATAACCGGTGTAAGCCACTGGCACCAGGCTACACTTTGTCTGTTAAAAAAAAAATCTGTCATGACTACCTAGTTTGGTTTGAATGAATCCCTCTTACAATGTCAGTTTGCTGATAGCATTTACTTGCCAGTGCAAATTCTTCACCTGAGAAGGGGAAAACTGAAGTTTTCTTCCATTTCCCACTGGCTGTGCTTCTGCTTGACCAATAAGCATCTCATGAAGGGCCTGAGCCACAGCATACACAGCATTATATATATAGTAACTCTCTTCCATCATGCCCATGTCAAAAAGGTACCTAGGCAACCATTCCAAGGACGCATTGGCTGGACAGTTCTTCCAAGTGACACAGCTAGACTCAGAAAATGTGCACTTAAAAAAGCGAATCCACACCAAAGCAAGGAAATAGTCTTCTGGGTATTTGGATGGGTTAGCAGTTTTGATAAAATTGTTGAAACCAGAAATCTCTCCATGGTGGTGTGAGAAAATGAGAGGGGCATGGAGTGAATGTAACAAAAAATATTTCATCACAT